CCGAAGTGTAAGCCGCTCAGAGACCCCCGACCAGGGGTTCGAGCGGGATATAAAGTGGAACAAATAAATAAAAAGCCTTGGGATCCTGAGCCTCCCTGAGGCAAAACAGGATGCACTTTGAGTTGCATCTGGTGGCAAAGACGTTGATGGGAGGCGTACCCCACCTTTGAAACATGGGACGTAGGTAGGTCCAGTTCAACTCCCAGTCGTGATGCTGAGAGAGACCCCTGCTTAGCAGGTCTGCATGCACTTTGGCCTTGTCAGCAATGTGTGAGGCAATGGGAAAGATGTGCAGTGGTATGCACCAGCCCCAAAGGTCTAGAGCTAGGAGGCAGAGACTGCGGGAGACTGTTCCCCCTGTCTGTTGACGTAACTGAGGGCCGTCGTATTGTCAGTTAAGACAGTTACGCATTGTCCTGTGAGAAGAGGCTGGAAACATTGAAAGGCCAGTTTGATTGCCAAAAGTTCCAGAAAGTTTATGAGTTTCCTTGAGGTCACAGCATCCTACCTGTGACCTACAGAGAGGCCGTTGAGGTGGGCTCCCCATCCCCACAGCGAGGCGTCGGTTGTGAGGGTGAGAGTAGGCGTGAGAGGACGGAAGAGGATCCCCTCTGTCAGATTGTCTGACTGCGTCCACTATAGAAGGGAGTCGCGTGTCTCTTTTGGCGGGGAAAGAGAGACTGATTGGGACATCCATAGGGGCTTGAAGTGCCGAATGAACCAAAGCTGGTCGCATTCGCAGCTTTGCAAAGCGAAGGACTGAGGTTGTAGGCCCAGAAGAAGTTGAATCTGGAAGGCAGAGGAGGTGTCTTGTAGTCGAACCTGTTCTGCCAGAACGGTCAGGGTTAGTGTCCTGTCCTGGGGCAGGAAAGCAGCACCCTCTCTGGAGTCGAGTATCGCCCCTATGAACTGCACTCTTTGAGAAGGGGCCAGGCATGACTTCTTGCGGTTGACTCTGAGGCCGAGACAACGAAGGAGATTGAGGGCCAGGGTTATATGATGAATGAGAAGGTCCCTGGAAGGGGCGACCAGATGCCAGTCGTCCAGATACGGGAACACCGTCAGGCTGCAGAGGCAGAGATGTGCCACAACGACCACCATTGTCTTGGTAAAGACCTGCGGGGCCGTGCTGAGACCCCGTGCTGTAGACTCCTGTATTGGTAGTGCCTGCTACCTATCGCAAATCGGAGGTATTTGCGATGGGCGGGGTGGATAGTCAAATGGAAATAGGCATCCTTGAGGTCAAGGGTGGCCATCCAGCATCCCTGGGACAGGAGAGGCAGAATGACAGGTAGGGATGTCATTCTGAATTTCCAGTACTGTATATAGGCATTGAGGCCACGAAGGTCTAAGATCAGCCTCTGCCCATCGTCCCTTTTGGGAACCACGAAGCACCGGGAGTAAAAACCGAGTCCCTGGTAATCTAGAGGCATGGGTTCTATAGCACCCTTTGACAGAAGTGTGGCGACCTCTTCGAGGAGGAATGACAACGGGGGAGTGGTGATGACACAGGAAGAGGTGGGAGTTCCATGAATTCGATGGAATAGCCCTTGGCTAAGATGGAAAGGACTCATTGGTCCGGCATAATGGTGGCCCGGGCCTGCAAATAGGGATGGAGATGGGTAGGGTAGGAAGAGGTAGACAGGCGGAAGTCAAAGGCCCTGCTTGCCGGGTTTGGGTAGTTTCGGCCAGACAAGTTGCTGTCCAGAGCTGTATCTTTGTCTGGTCTGGTACTGCTGTCTGTTTGCAGACGGGGACCAACGTGGCCTGTAGACCTCATCCGGCGACGGCTTAGCATATTGACGTCTGGAGCTGTAATGAGACCAAGAGCGAGGACGAAAGAGCTTAGATGGGGCAGAGACCCCCAGTGACCTTGAGACCTTAATGCTCTTATCCGTGTCCTGGAGCGTCAAATCAGTGGACGCATGAAAGAGACCTTGGCCATCAAAAGGTAAGTCCTCTATGTACGCTCAGCAGGGAGTGCGGTGGTCCTCAGCCAGGAATACCTACCGGGGGAAAGTATGTCTGGATGAATTGAGGATTTGTTTGGAGAGTAGCAAGCCTTCCTTTTGCAGCTTCCTGGCCTCCTGACGTTTGTCCTCAGGCAGCAAGGTCAAAAGGTCGGTAAAACAGTCCCAGAGTGAGTACTGGTAACGGCCCATGCAAGCGACATAATTGGATGTCTTAATGCCGAGGGCTCCTGCCGAGCAAAAACAACAACCAATGGAATCTAACTTCTTGCTCTCCTTATCAGAAGGGGTAGCAAGGGTACGTTTACTCTTTGAGGCGGACGACATGACCATGGAGTTGGGCTTGGGGTGGATATGGAGGAATTCACCCTCCCTCTCTTGGACCCGATACATATGATCCAGATGTCTGGACGACACTGGAGCAGAAGAAGGCTTGTCCCATGGGGCCTTAGCCGCCTGTAAGAGGACGGTCGACATTGGGAGAGCGATCAACATGGAGGTATTGATCTGCACAACATTGAAGACAGCGTCCGACACCGAGGGTTGGGGTTAGATGATCGACAGACCCAGGGAATGTACCATCCTCTTGACCAAATCTCTGTAAAAAGGAGAGATCGGGAGATTGCCCGACACCGTAGGTCTTGGTGAAGGATCATCTGGCGATTCGGGCACTCTGAATCTTCGGTGCTGGTATCAGAGACAAAGGATCTGGAAGGTGATACTGGTGCCGCAGGGGTATTCGGTATCGGAGCGACTTTCGGTGGTAAAGCAGGGGTGGAACGGAGTGGAGAGGGTGTATGACAGGGTTCCTCTGGGGCTTTGGATTGCGACGCGGAAGGCTTGGATTTACGGTGGGGAGAATGTGAACGACATGAGCCACGATCCCAGTCCAACTGTGGCCTAGGCGTCAGCCATGGCATCAATGCTGACATTGGATAAGATGTGAACCAAGAAGGCATGTGCCCCCTACGGTCCCACGATACAGGTGGGTCAAAGTAGGTCGGGGAGTGCGGTCTCAATTACCGTCTAGGCGAGTACAAGAGCATGGGCCTGGAATGACGATATTCTGGGCACTCCTCAGGTCAATATCGATACTCCTCGCTTTGGGCAATCGGGATTGATGGTGTCGAGAGCTCGTTGCTGACCAATCACTTTCCCAGGAAATCACTGACTGGGAATGATCTCTACGATGCCAACGCAGAACCATTTCATCGACTTCAAACGGCGAGGCCGCAATTGGTCTGGAGTCGACAGAAGCCTTCAATACCAGGGGGTTCAGGTGCCGGATGGGTGAGTCCAGTAACTCAAACGTAGGCAGCTCTGGTACCAGAGTATCAACGATGTCGGGTTGCACCTGCTGAAGAGGGGGTAATGCAGATGCCGTTTGCACATTGTCGCTGCTCAGATTCTGAGACTTACGCATAGTGCCGGTGAGAGAAGACTTAGTTTTCTCGTGCTTCTCTTTTTTCTTCTTTCTGGCCGGCATAGAGGCAGATGAGGCCTCATTCAACGCCAAGCGCTTAAAAGACTGTTCCCCATCCGATGCTGACTTTGCATGGTGTGGGGGATTCGGTGCCGAGGTGCCTCCCAATGTCGACATGGTCGTTGTTGGTTGGGAGATCGAAGGAGTCTAGGCCGACATATTTCCCACAGGCACGGGGGTCAATGCCGATTCCCAGAGCACTACTCGAAGCCTCACGGCTCTGTTCTTGCAAGTCTGGTTTGAGAACTTCGCACAATGGTGGCAAGCATCTGGGTGATGAGTCTCCCCAAGGCAAATAATGCAGTGTGTGTGGCCATCACGGGGGGCAAGTTTGCTGCCACCTCTTTTGGCCATAAAAGAAAAAAGTACAATTTCAACAATCCCTTGTGAGAGGAAAAATGCTTTTTCACCAACCGGCAGAAAACAGCGCGGTGGTCAGAAGAGAACTGGTGAACTAGCGGGATGTCCGCACCCCTCCTCCTTGGGCATGCGCAGTGGGGTTCCTGCGCATGTCTGGGAGGGAGGCGCGAAAATCCCTTTGTGAGCTTTGCATACCACCGATTCGGATCAGCGCAGGCGCATAATCCCATGGGTGTGATGCACAGAGACCACGAAGAAGATCATGCAATTTTAAATAATACTATCTACCCTCCACTGTGCAAAAATGTACTTATGCTAAACCCTGTTCCTGGAAAAGAACAGCTCCTTGCTATGCTACAAAGGGCTAAATGCTCTGCTCCAAGTTTGGGACATTCTGACCTGTATCCTACTACTTCAGCTCAGCAAAGTCTTTCTCTAGCCTAAGGAGTCTTCCTCTGACTTTTCTGCCAGAGGAAGAGCCATTTAAATTGGAGCAAGGTGTCCAACTTAGCTGAGTAGACCTGCTGAGTGGAGCAGTAGGATACGTGACCATCCAACTTTGCTGAGCGGAATAGTAGGATACATGCCCATCTCAGATAACAAACAGAGTGAGAACTAACCTGAAATTTACTCCCTGCCTGATCACCAAATACTCCCTTCTCTATTACCACAGAGTGTACTATTCCCACAGAACGTACCAAATGAGTTATGATCACTGTGTTTCTAGGACTGCCAACCAGCTTAATTCTGTTGAGCAAAGGTGTCCAGAGAGTCACTCTAGAAATATACTGCAGGATGCCCAAAAACAAATGTTCATCTTACTGTCAGCTAATGCTGCCATGCATTGGAATGTTCAGTCAAAGGGATGCGCTCGCTCTCCTCCCCCACTCTTTCTCCTTCACTTGTGCTTATCTTGCAGGTGTCCTTGAGGCTAGAGGCACTTCTTCCCGAGCTTCCCACTGGGAACCTAATGGGTGGGTGTTAGCTCAGTGCTTAATAGTGCTTGCTTATTAGCTTTGTAGTATCAGGGGGTCTCCTTTGTAGGGGGTATATCCCAAAAGCCCCGCGGCTCTCCCGCCATTCCTGACACAAGAGTTCATGGTGTCTCAAGTACTTTCTCTCTCAATAAACTGAATCTTATGAAGACCTGGTGTTGAGTGTGATTGACTGGGAACCCTGACACTTACCTGCTTTCTCCTTTGGAGGACGACTAAGCAGGTAGAAGCAAAGATTGTGGCTTGCACTCCAGTGAAGGCTGAGTGCCACAGGAGTGTCTGGGAAGGGGAAAAAGAGGATGAAATTAAAGACAGCCTAGTGGGAAAGAAACACAGTTCCACTATCACCTCCCACCAAGACAGCAAGCAGAGCAAAACCCGGAGAAAACAGGAAAAATAATCAAGACACAAAGGTCATATCCCAGACAGTCTTAGACGTGAATCCCATCCAGTGCAAACATACCTGGAATGCATACAGAGTAATTTTCCTTCCCTCCCTCCCCTGCTGCAGATATCTATGACTCCTGAGAACATTCCCCTATGTATCAGTGCCCCCCCACCAAGATGGGGGGGGTCAAACTTCAGAGGAGCAATAGTGAGGCGGAGAATTGGCAATAATGTCTCTCCCCTTTTCTGTGAGTAGAAAGGCAGCTCACAATACAGGTCTTAGTGTCTGCCCTGCCTTTATTTTGCTCTACAGTTTTTCACATTCAAAATTAGAAGCCTACAGAAGTAAGATCCATAGCAGTTGCCCACCCCACAGTCCAAAATTACCTGGCTCACTTTTGTTTTCCATTCCAAAGGGCAAGGTGCGGCCAGGACCGTGAAAATGAAACATAGCATGGCTAACAGAGGAGGAGATCATAATTAATTAAAACAAATATAAACCTGCTTATCAGCTAAAAAGTTCTGCCCATCAGTATGCCCCAATTTCCAGAGAGGAAGAGAGGTGACTGGAAACACAACCTTCTTTGTGGTGGCACCTTTAGTGCAGAATCCCTCCCTGTTAATGGTTCACCTGGGACCAGCTTTGGGTGCCAGTTAAAAACTTATTTTCCCCCAACATTCTGTTATTTTGTATTCTTCATCATCACCACTATTTAATCTGCTGCTTTCTTACCATTATATTATTTATTCCTTGACCTTGCTATATGATGTTTTAATCCTCTGCCCTGCTTCTATGGTCCAAAGTGCTGTTTTATATATTTACTAGGGAGCAAAGCCCATTGTGGATGAAGACAATGGGCCCTAGAAAGGTAGGGTGGGTGGGTGGTAGATAGATAGTTAGATGGATACATAGAGGGGCTTGGAGAAAGAGAGGAAGGAAGGAAGGAAGGAAGGAAGGAAGGAAGGAAGGAAGGAAGGAAGGAAGGAAG